AACTGGATTGTCAAGGGATCACTCGGCCCATTTCCCACCTCTGCACACATTCACCTTCGTGGCTGGAGCCCAGGGGTATGTTGCCATCATCCAGAGCCACCCAGCACCCTGTAAGGATTATTGCTTACAACAGAGGGCTCCAGCCTCTCTCCAAAGACGGCTTAGGCAGGGGCACTCCTTCATAAAGGCCCTGTGGGCTCTGGACAGGGATCCATTCGAGCCACTCCAGGACTGTCCCAGGAGACGTGAGCACAGAGCCACCCTGCCCGCCTGCCTTTCCCCAGCCTCAGGGCTGACCTGACCTTAGAGGACCCCTGGATAGAACGCGCCTCCCCTTGCCTTTCACGCTGATTCTTCCCGCAGAAATGAGGTACATCCTGCCCGTGTGCGGCCTCTCGGTTTCCTCGTTGGCTGCCAGCAACGTGACATTTTCAGCTATTTACCACAAAAGGTTTCTGCTTATTTTATACTCATCCGCTCAGCACTTTGTGCTTTGGGGCAGTTGAGATTCAAGAGATAAATGAAAAGTGGTGGGTGTTAGAAGGTTCCCCGAGGGTTCAGAGAGAGAGAGAGAGAGGGAGGGAGGCAGGGGGAGGGAGGGAGAAGAGAAACATGAAGGTGCAGGAATGGACACCCGCCTCAGTGCCAGCCATCGCAGGGACCGGCTGACCGCCACGTGAAAGACTTCGCGAACAATTACCATCTCAACGCTAAACTCATTCATTAAAGGCAGACCTGGAACCTCCCTACACTCCCTACAGTTCTGTGCGGCAGTATCCGTATCCCCCATTATAGATGGGAGTGGGGAGGGGGGAGGCTGAGAGGGTGTCTCCCCCAAGGTCACACAGTCAGAAAGTGGCACAGCTCGGACATACCCAGGTGGCGCACCTACGCCCATCCCTGAAACACTGCAGCACACTTGCTCCCTGGGAAGAGGGCTTCGGAAAGAGCCTCCACGTGACAGGACGGCATCCGTCCACCCCCCCCCCCCCCCCCCCCCCCCGCAGGCCAGGCCGTGCTCGTGTGGCCTGAAGGCACAAGAGCCCTGAGGACACCAGGCCTATCAAGCCGGTGCCCATCTGACAGCTGGCCAGAACCAAAGAGGAAACAGGTCTGTAACATCACAGTCCATTTGAAACTCAGGCAGCACAAGATTTTCAAAGTACGTATTTTATTTATACAGAATAGTGCAAGTTAAATGAAAATAATGGTTTGTAATCTAATTTACACAGCACCAGGTGCTGGCTAGTTGTCCTGACCGTGGTGGGAGGTGTGGCTGGCCTTGGGAAGAGAAACGACGAACATTTCCACGGTTGGGACGCCATGTGAATTAGCCCAGGAAATAATTTTTCTCAACGTGATCCCCAGAACACAGGCGGCTTCCCTCATCCTTAGAGGCACAGCTGTATGCGCAGGAAGTTTCTGAGTTCTGGCTGTGCTTTGAGCCTTTGGCCCAAGTCCTACCAGCCCCAAGGTTTTCCATGACAACAAAACAATCATCATCAACTTGCTTCCGATACCCTCTTCGACCCACAAATCTTACTGTTAATCCCATTTCTTCCCTACAACTCAAGGGACCCTGGGATACACTGGACCAAGCGGAGCAGGGCTGAGGCTGCTGCTCTTTCTTTGGGAGGAATAATTAAAACATCCCAGCAATTTCTCTGTCACTGTCCAGCTTTCCAGTCCCGATTTAATAGAAATGCTGCTTGTCCCCTACAACCGGTCTATGCGAGGTTACCAGTTTCTTCCATCCCTTAGGCAATTCATAGATCTCAGGCACATTGAGATTTAAAGGCACAGCCCTCCCATCTCATTAATATGTCATCAGCCTGTGGAGACCGCGACATCACCTGCAGTGAGAAACTCTTAGGGCCCATCTCATCTTTCTCGATTCTGAGAGTACACCTGATTTATTGAAAACCATGAACAGAGTAGGCCACTTCCCCCACCCCCCCAACCCATTCGCCCTGTCGGACTGGACCTCATTTTGTCCCTCAGCACCTGACCATCAGAGCTCTTCCCTGGGGCATGTGGCCAACGCCCGTGGTTGGTGGGAGAGGAGGGTCAGTGTTTCCGCACAGAAGCCCTGGACGGATCACGAGGATTCATCACGGAACCCAGGATTCACAGCACAGACCCTGGCACTTGCCGGGCTCAAAGGCTTCTAAGCATAAAGCTTCTGAGACAGAAGAGACAGGCTCTTTGCCTCAGCCCCTCTGCTGCCCTGCCGGCCCCAGGTGCTGCTCAGGTACTTGGGACAGTCCCATCTTCCTCGGGCAACCCTTGCTCTTGAATCTCCTATTTGTCGTCTCACTTACCTGGGATGGCAAATCCCGTTCCATAAATGATCCCCATTATTCCCACAGAAGCAGACTCCAGCTTGAAATCTGACTGCCTTTCCACTCCTCACTGGCTGCTCCACGAGCTCTGGAAGCAGAGAAAGTCTGCGGTCCTACTGAACGTAGCCGGGAAGCCCACAGGCTCCTCCACTCCACCGCAAATGCGCCAGGGTTCAGCCTGGAGGCCAGCAGGGCGCACCCCTGGCAGACACCTCTGCCATAAGAAAGCAAGTGACGGGGACCGAGGAGAGCACAATGACAATGTCCTCTGTGGCAGACATTCAGAAGGTCTCTTGGGCAGCAGTGGGAGGAAAGAACAAAAACAGCAGAGCTAGAAAAAGTCTTCCTACAATTAAAATCCATGCTTAGGCATCTCTGGGGAGGGACACTGTAAAATCACCGCCACGCAGTGCCCTGCAGAGGTCCACTCGGAGCAATGACTAAACTCAGGACGCACCTTTCCTCACTGTCGACTAGAAGTGGCACAGGGTCCGTGCCTCCCGCCGAACGGGCCACGGGGCAGGCGCGCACCTAGCACAGGTCCGACCCCTCTGTTTGCTCCCAGCCAGTGAGCTGCGGGTCTGACGATTCTGGAGGAAATGTGTGGCCGTGCCACAATGTGGGGCTCCACCGGAGACCTGAGAAAGGATTTCTCGGTACTTGAAAAGATATGGAACTTGGTTTAAAAACTTCAGCTTTCCTTCATCAGGAGACTTTTAAAAAGAAAAATCACTTTTCCCTACAGGCCCTTAGCAATTAAGTTTCTATTTGTTTTTCGACTAGAAGGGAGTCTGACAGCGCTGCAATCCCCAGCCACCGCCGAGGCTCGTGAGGAGCGGCACTCTTACCCGCCGGGCTGGCCCCCGTGGCCCTGTAGACACGGGCCACTCCATTCTCTTCCAGAGGGTTTCGTCTGGTCCCAAGGGGCGATTCGGTGCCACTCTGCCAGTTGCAGATCAAGAGCTCTCCCGGTCTGACAGCTCACAAGGACCGAAGAACCTTCAGAAGAGACCGCCGTGGCAGGAGCAGTGAGGGCTTCACGTGGAGGCCACGTCTTAAGGGTTTGAGCACCATCTTCTGGTCAGGTTTCGGCTTTTGAGGACTTGCCTTTGAAAACTTCATTTACTCCACAATGGGAAGATCCCTGAGCCGACAAGCTCAAGTGACTTGCATATCAAAACGAGGACACGAGTGGAGGCAGGAGCAGTTAGCTGCCTGGTGTGCACAGGCCTGCGCTGGAGCTCACCGCCCGCGCTCGGCCAGATGGCCGCAGCGAACGCCCTGGTCAGTGACAAGGCTCCGCCTTCCGCCCTTCCAGCAGGGCGCGGAGGCGGTGAGGTCCTCACCGGGTCCCAAATTGACCCCCTGCCCCTGCTTGTACGGGGTGACGCGAAATGTGCTCGGCAAGGAGGCGTGGGCTTGCGGGGGGCCAACGCAACCGGGCACTAGCTCCGCGGGGGGTCAAGCCCCTCGCCGTGGCAGGGAGCCCTGCCTGCTGTGTAAACACTGCACTAGCAGACTGCGACCTCCTGGCATTGAGGAAAGGAAGACAAATGCTAGTCGTTCCCTCCAAACGGCGGGAACCTACATCCATCTAATTGCACTTCATAATGGATTCCACAAACCATTAATTATCAGATTATATTTTAGGAACCGCACATAAAAAACTTGGTGAAATTCAGACTCCAAAGGCTCACGACCCTGTGGTAACAGCGGCAGCCTGGAGAGTCGGACGACAGGCCCCTCGCAAGGCAGGGGGCGCGTGGCCGGAGGAAGAGCCAGGGGCAATCACGGGCACCACCGCACCCGGCCCGGCACTGGTTCATTGGCCGTAACACCAGCTCCAGAGTGAGGGAGCCAGGCTTGCGGGCCACGTAGGCATTTCCCGCTCTGACTGGAAATAGGGGTGAGGGGAATGCGGGAAGGCTGCGGGAACCAGCCTTCAGGTACAGAACACCACGGAAAACATCCTGGAAAGGCAGGGATTGTCTTTGCGGCGGGACGGCCCACACTGACTGCTTCCCGCAGAAACATGGCAAGGCCTCGTCTGGGGAAGGGCTGACGGTCCTGACGAGGTGGGACTCGGCATGGAAGAGAGGCCTTCCCGCGTTAACACGCCACTCCCCATCCACCGGGAGTGGGCTGGGCCTCCCGAGCAGATGGGAGGATGACAGGGTGAGGAAGAGGCCAGTGTGCACCAGCCTGGGGGTCTCTGGATGGTCCGTTGTGCTTTGCTCTCATTTTTAGACGGCCAGAAGGCACCGGAAGCCCCGATCTGTGGGCCGCTGTCCCCCACACCCCTGCCATTCTGCACAGGGAAGGCTGCCCCCGATACGTAACCGCCGTCCCACAGGCACCTGCCATTCTGCAGGGAAGGCTGCCGGCACACAGCCCCTCTCTGGTGCCCTGGCCACCAGCTCCCGTCCCACTGCTCATCACAGAGGCCACTGCAGTAGGCCCGTCCCCTCTGAAGGGCAGCGGTGTCGGTGCCGATGACTCCAACACTGTTGGTTCTATGAGACCGAAGTGAGAGTGCTCCGGTTGGTGGAGGCTAAGATGCCCGCTACTCGGGCCAGCTGGGGGCGGAGGGCAAAGGGCAAAGCTGCGGAGCGTTCTCTCTGTGGCAAACGCAGGGCCCTCCCCTGGATGGGCAGCCGCTCACTTGGCCTCGCCACAGATGAGGGTCACGGTACCATCTAGCAAATCCTCCACGGTCACCGCCACAAGCTCAGAGCTGGTCTGAGATGTCTGTGAATCCGGCAAGGTCACAAACACCTGTGACCCAGCAAGCTGGGTCTCCTCCAAGGTGATCACCTGCTCCGTCGGGGCCGCCGGCTCTGGGGTTTGGATCACCTGAAAGGGAAAGACCGCGAGACCGCTCTGGGCAGTGTCCACAGTGGGCTCCCCAGAATTTACGTGGTTTTCGTCTCATGCTGTAATGATGATATTTATGTTTTCACCTGAGGAGAGCAATTGCATGTGCCTAATGGGAAGAGGCAAGTCTAACACAGCAGCGATGC